TGAATTATCATCAACATTCCCTGGTAGATGCAGTCGCCTTCCCATCGTATCTCAGATATGCTCGATGGGAGAGAGACCTGGCTAGCCAAGGAAGTATTTGCCAAACTGTAAGACAGTTCATAGCAACACGTGCCGTATGTGGCCTGGCATTATCTTGCTGAAAAATAAGGCTAGAGTGCTTCAAAAGGAACGGCAGCAAAACAGGTCTCAGAATGTCCTTGATGTACTGCTGTGCTATACGGGTGCCTATAATGACGACCAAATGGCTTCGGCTGTCAAAGCAAATGGCACCCCAGATAATAATTCCTGGTTGAGGACCTGTGTGGCGTGTAATAGTGAAAGCAGGATCGGCACGCTGCTCTAAGCGTCTCGAGACATGTCTTCGATGATCGCCATGATACAGATGGAAGCGGGATTCGTCCTTAAAGACTATACGTCCCCAGTCAGCATTATTCCAACCTGATCAAGCCAAGCTCTAATGTAATCTGGCTCGACAGTGTGCAGACGTGAGTGGCAAGTTGCAAAACGGTCGGTACAAGCCTAGATTTCGCTCTATCAGCCGTCTGTAAATGGTCATGGTGGACACTCGTGCGCGGGTCGCACGTCTGGTGGTTGATAGCGATGAATCAGGAGATGTGACAGCTGATTTTATAATCAGTCTGCCCTCCCAATTTGTTCTGGCTCTAGATCGACCGCTACCATCATGAGGCTGGAATCTGCCATTGTCTAGCCCCCGTGCTTTCCAGCCTCTTCTAATCACCGCATTGCTTCAACTTATATGACGAGCAATTCTCCGATTTGCCCAATCTGCCTCTTTCAATCCAATGATATGACCTCTTTCAAACTCTGACAATTGCTCGTAATGAGCTCGAATCCTGCGGTGAGGCATTTTTTCAGTCCTTGAAAGGTTTCCTAAATCGCAATTCAACAGGAATTTTTAACAACAGTTCAAGAACAGCTCTTTATATACATCTGTTGGATTCGCAGTTCCAGTGCGCTGGAGATCGTAGTATTCATTCATTGGACAACAAATTTTAATCATTTGCATATTTGGTCAATACATTTATGATTACGAAATTTCAAAGCAATCGTATGATTCCTTCTTGGTGCCTTTTTTTTTTTTTTTTTTTTTTTTTTTTTTGTTATAGAGTGTATATAAGGCACTAATATGTACCTGGAATAGGTGACATCTGAAAGTATAAATAGCTTATCATTAGAATAATTTTCAAACAATATCATAACAAAATAATTTTTTTAACTTAGTGCAAACTGTTATATATATTTCTAATATAATGCTTTAGACAGGCAGATAATTCTAATACACGGCAATCAGCTGACCTTACATATCTTGGTAAACATTATCCTTATAAGTGAAACACTGGCTATAACAGAAGATGCACTTAAGTAGCTTAACTCACTGTATCTTTGATTCTTAATGACGAACTGATTTGGGAAGTTTAAAAGCTACAAGAGAATGTGAGGTGCATATAGCTTACTGTCATCTGTATTTACGATTCTAGCTCGCCTAAATCCGAAGAAAGATTAGTATTGTTTATTATCTTGTGTTATTCCTTTATTTAATCAAAGAAGAAGATTATTAACATTTGTTTTGTAACTTCGAGTTAAAGAATAATAACGTATTTTTTGCATTCTAAAGTCTGACTTTCAGTTGGGGTTCGAACCTATGAAAAATTATTAACGCGAAAGAAAAATTACTGAAAACATAAAATACCTAATAGAAAAAAGACAAAAACATTTCGAAGTCATTTCACATTTAAATATCTCCTGAACAGCTTATCATAAATATTATTCACCAATTTAAGAAATAATTCAAACAAAACGTGCTTTCGTATTAGAGTAAGTTTAGTTGGGTGAAAATTTTAGTACAATTATACCAAATTAATATTTTTAGGCAGGCTCTCAATAAAGTTCTAATTATAAGCTGCTGTTTTTCATTTATACTATAGGTATTCCTGAGAAAAAGATCAATTCTGTAACATGCGAAATGCATCTTCAATTATTTTTCGTCGATGAAAAAATTGTAGAGACATAAGGTATTTTTTTTTTCGAGAGATAAAAAATGAGCAACACTCTCGCCAGGAATCAAACCACGGAACTTTGGAATACCGGCCCAGCATGCAGCACCACGAAGGCACGCTAGGAAAGCCGGAAAAATACCTGATATACTCCCCCTTTCAAAGGGCGACTGGGGTTTAGGGGACCCATTCGCCAAATCCTGGGTGTGGGGAGTCATCATTCACCATTCTTTTAGTTTGGGCACCACTGTAGGGATATTAGGTATTTTTTTGGAAGCAGGAGAGATGAAAAATGAGCAACGCCCTCGCCAGGAATCGAACCACGGCATCTAAAGTAATGTGTTGACAACTACACTACGAAGTCATGCTATAAAGGCGGGAGAAATGCCTTATAAAATAAACTTGAAATGTCGATTTCAAGAGCCATGTGAATGAAATTTCGGTACTTAAAAAAATGAAAGATGAAGTATTTGAGACGCTTGCTTCGTCATTAACATTATTCTTATATAAAAGCTATGTTTTAGAAATTTTCATTCGAAAACTGAATTTGATTATATAATCAATAATTTTTGTAAACTCCCCAGACATTTTAATAAATAACACCTTGAGTAATTCTAATTGAAAGAAAATGGATTTTTTTGTTTTTCAAACTCGAATATATATAACATTCTCATCTCTCATATTGATTTTTTAAGGGACAAAAAAGGTATTTTAAGTTTTGGACATTCTTGCGCGAAAAGAACACGTGATTAATATTGTTGCAGTTTGATGATTTATATTGTTTTATCCATTTTGAAACTGGTTCCTTAAATAAATAACCAATCGTTCAAAAGATATTTAATAATGTGATTCTATTTGAAGCAATCATATTGTTCAGATACTAACAGCTTAGCATGTTGCATTTTAGTGATCACAATTTACGATGATGACACTGTAAGCGTAAGCTGGGTAAGAAATCCACAGACTGCCATATTAAATTTAAGAAACATGGCAACGAGTAAAACAAAACAAAAGGTAAAATAAATGCGCGAGTGAAAATTTCGAATCGCGGTCTAAATCTGTGAAAAATTAATCACTAAATTTTTGAAAAGCAAGAAAAAATCCATAATTTTTTTTAAATATAAAATTTTAAAGGAATTAGAATCTGATATTGATGTGCATATTTTAAATTAATATTTAAAACGCTAATTGGTTCTGATAGAAGTACTAGTTTAAGAATTATTTACCTTAAAGGAAAGACTATAGAATAGCATATTTAAAAAAGAGCTGTTAATGTCAAAGGCAATGAACGTTTCATAAAGCGTCTTACACCTATTTAATAAAGAAAAGACTTACTTATTCAATACTTAACTATGCAATTAGTTGATCGGTTATGCATACAGTTTATACCGTCTAGTAATCAATTCAGTTGCATTCTTACGAGTGGATACTGACTCGACTGCAAATTTTGAAAAGCTAATATGCAGAACTACTAGAAAAATATCGGCGAAAGAGATGTAAGAAAATGGTTTGTAATAGTTATATGATCACGTAATTTCTTAGGCTCCAGAAAAACTTTGAAAAAGATAACAGGAGATTACTATACGTCTAGGTTTGCATCAAAAGAAGGAAGTAACTGTGAAGTTTGAAAATGCAGAAAATTTTCTATCTGTTTGAAAAAGCGAAAGCTCTAAGAACTTTGATATTTTGATGCATTTTTTATGTACGTCGTCCCTACACAATTGATACTTAAAAGTTATATAAAATTCAAAATCTTAAAAAACAGCTAATCCGATTTGCCAGGATCTTATAAAACAAAATTTATGAAAAAAAAAGAGTTCAACAATTGTTGAATGAAAAAGAAGTACAGGATAATAATTCTCTTCCGGATGCAGACATTTTACAATCTTTTTTACCTGAACTGGAAGGAATTCAATGGATAAAATCTGAGTTCATAAAAATATAATGTAATAGAAAAGAAAAAAAAGAAAAGGAAGAAAAGAAAGGAAAACGTAGCACAGAATTTTCTCATATCTACATAACCAGAATACCTTCATCTCTTACGGTCAGTAAACTGCTATTTCTGGGCCTTTAAATACTGTTCAATTTAGTGCAAGGGTTTAATTTTATCTTTCATGTAAATAATACAAACAAATAACATAATAAACTGAATATTTAAAAAAACTCTTAATAAATTAAAATGGTATATACACGATGATTGTGTGTGTATTGATAATACGGCAAAGCACACTAGGGCTATCTGCCTAAGGGGAGGGATGCCTTTCGTGGAGGACTTTCTAAGGGAAACTGGCTCGTATACACGTTACACATGAGGAAAACCACGAAAACGCCCATGCAACCACCCCGTTCGCGGGATTCGAACCTTGTACCGAACTACCAGTGTTCAGCGATTTTACCGCTCGGCCGCTGGAGGGCTATACACGATGAAGTTTATATTGTAATTTTAGTAAAAATTTATTAATTATTATTTTTTAATACTTGTAATTATTAAAAATATTAACTAAAGTTTTATTAAACGTTAATTAAACTGCCGGACATCCAAAAGGCGACACCGTGAAGGAAAGATGCACCATGTATGTATACCAAAAAGGAGTAACTAATTTTTTTTTCGATAGCACTTAAATTTATTTTCCTTTTTTACGTAAATAATCAAGTTTCTCGACACAGAATTACATTTATAAATTTAGTTTGATAATTTTACGCTATATAACATTTTGATAATACATAAAACTTCATGATCTTTCTGTATGTAAATATAAATCGTATTTTCCTAACTTCATTTTGCAAGAATGCTGTGAGTTTATTTTGATGATGAAAGAACTTCAATACATAGCTTTTGAAGCTTTTAATAATAAAAATACAAGAGAGAGAGAACCGTTTATGGAAACAAATAATAACCATACCGTGTAGCATCTTTCACGTGCATCCTATCATCTTAAATGTGGCAACATTATTCAAATCCATAAAAACACTAGCCAAAAAAAAGTTATCATATTCAAATTCGTGTTCAAATTCAATTTATATGGCCTCGTAATTTCAAGTAAGTACATACATATTTTGAATTAAATTAATTTATTTACTGTTTATAAAAATTAAAAGGGAAGTTTTAATATTCAATTTTCAATATACAGTTTAATATTTTCAATATTTAATAACCCTAAATATTAATATTTTCAATTCAGTATCATTATTTTCAATTACTTAAATGTGAAAATAACATATAGCAACCAAAACTGAGAATATTTTGAAATTTTGTTTAATATGCTATATTTTAAATAGTTGAATTTATATAATAATAAATAACTGATCATTACACCAAAAGCAGAAACAATAGTTAGAATTAGGTTGTAGCTATGATTACATCAATAATATATTATAATTTTTTAATATTTCTAAAACTTCTCTAACAGCATTACGGAAACATTTCACTATGTGGAACATCCTAAGGATTTACTTATTAGAAACTTAAAAAAAATTACTTGTACTTGAAATCGAACCTATCTATTAAAAAGCGGTACTCTTTTGTTATCGGAACCAGATTCAGATATGTATGTATGCAAGGATGGACGTATGTGTTCATGTGTTCGTGTATATATGCAAGTACTGTGCATATATGAGTACTATGTATGCGTACTATGTGTATATGTACGTGTACACACACATATGTGTACATACATACATACATTCATATATTTTTGAATCCGGTCCCGATTACAGAAGAGTACCAAAAAGACATTTATTTTGACATTAATATTAGCGATTGCTAGATGTTCACCAAAATAACATAAATAAAACATTAAAATTTCACGTTTTTCGGAACAGCTGACGTAGAAAACATTGATAATAGCCCTAAGTCCGCTAGTATTAAATTTCCTAAGTAGATACTCTGATACTTTGATTTTCCTAAGGATGATAAAAGCTTCAAATTATCGATTAATTGTGAGTTAGATGTAAGAACTTGGCGACTTTTAACGAAATTTATTTAATGATAATTTGGAAGGCAATAATTAATTAAATGTGATAGGTTGCTTCAATATCAAAAAAAGAAACGCTTTGATGATAATATTCAGATGTCAGTATCAATTATTAAAAACAAACCCATTATTCTCAATTGTAAATTGTCCAAGAGAAGTCATGGATTTAGTTTCCCATAAGGATATTTTATGATTAAATACGTAAATTAGAAATTCAGGAACTAGTTTTTTTGGCGCATGTAAACAGGCCTCACCAGCGGCTGAGTGTTAAAAAGCTGTAAAAATGCCTGTTCGACCTGTTTGGGTTCGAACCCAGGTTTTTGTTGATTTTCGTGGTTTTTCCTGTGGGCAACAGGAACACGAGCCTGTATCCTCCTGACAGTCCTTCATGAAACGAATCCCTCACCTTAGGCAGGCAGCCCTCGTAGCTTTCCATATTCAAATGTACTAGCCGTATATGTAAACAAGTTCTCATGAGCACGCGATGCGACGACGCAAGCATCTAGCCTACAATATCAGTCTTTGTGCACATGGTCGCTTCTGCATAGCTTCACTGTCGTTTGAAAACTGTTTGAAGTTTCGAAAGTTTAATTTATCATTTAGATCCAAGTGAATCCAGTTATGATTCTGCACCGTCCAACATTTCTCGTGACTTTTCAATACCATTTTTACGACAAAGAGAATCAGGTTCTAATTTTCAACCATCATGTTTCGATTATTGATAATCTTACTTCTCGCAATAGATATGTTTTACTTTTTGGTAATAAGACATGGAGAAAACATTAGATTATTATCAATTATATTATTGTCTTTAATTGTTCCTTTTTTTCTAAAAGTTTTGTGTAAGTTTCTTTTTGGGCGCAGTCTGAATTAAAAGAACGATCAGAAGATAGCACTTAAAATTTAATATTAAAGATTATATTAATTATTATTTTGTATTACTGTTAATAATACAGAACAAGATTTATCATTAACATATTGAGATTCTATATTATTCTTATTGTTATTATAAACATCACGGTACATTCGCTTTTCATTGCGAGTCAGTGCTACATACAAATCTGAATTAAAAGTTTTAATAGCAATGCATCTTTTTCCGTATGCGAGCTAAGTTGGAGCGAATTACTACAGTTTATTTTACAATTCTGATCACTAATCTACTAGCTCATCAATATAAGTACACATATAAAACGCATATTACATGAATACATGTTATGCTCATATTATGCAAATACATATGTGAAATTAAGTTCATATTATACGAATACAAAAGTGACGTTATGCCTGATACTACATGAAACTATACTCGCATACGAATACAAATCAAAATCATACACAAAATTATGTTGCTATAAAAATACACAGAAACTGTATATGTAAAACCTCGCTGATGTATTCGCTAATATGATAACCTCACTGATATAAATACATTTACAAAACTTGTGTATTGCTCTTATATATTTATTAAATTAAACTTTACTCAAGTATGAATTTAGATATAAAACTCATATATAAAATTAGACTCTGGTATTTGTAACACAATGCTCATACAAAGATGAAACTTCACTATTATGTTCAAAAACTCGCAACTCAAACTCAAACTCAAAAACTGTTTGATCGAAATCAGAAATGAGTTAATATATGTAAACATTTGTAAATTAATATAGTTTTAACGCCAAATCGGAAATGAGAATTCTACATTCTTATAAATGACAAATGCATTACTCTTTAATATAACGCCTATTTTTAATGCCTATCAAAATTCTTATCGATGAAAATATTGCGCAGAACTAACTTACTAAAATTTTAAGTTTTCAATTAAAACCTACACCAGTGCGAATATGTTCCTAAAATATAACGAAAATGTACATTAAAATGTTTATTCGTACAACTACTACACAGTTCGATGAAAGAAATGTTCTTTAAACGAAGATAAAATTTTAAATCATTTGCAGCTGTGAAACTAAAGCTGAAATTATCCTCAAGGTGCCAATATTGGAAGTCATATTTTCTTCCTGTTCAATTCAGTTACTGGCAATTTAGTGTTATATAAATTTTCCACTGACAAACATTTGAAGACATAAACAGATTTTCAGATTTCAAAAAATCAGGCAAGTCTCTTCTTTTGCCCTTTGATGAATAGAAACCTGTGTCAGATTTTTTTTGAAACACATATAACATTCTTAGCAATCATCATCAATATATGTTTCAGGTTTCCTTAATTTTTACAACAAGAGTGTTTTGCTTTCATGTACCTTTAAAAAATTACTAGAAATGTGCACAGCTGTTATTTCTAGTCCATAGGTAATATATTGTCATCGTTATTTTATTTTTAGATCAAAATTACTGATATGTCAAAAACGCCACAAAGTCTCTCTTCTTTATCAGAAAACAGTGCTGTAGTTGTAGTCAAGGATGTCCTAGATAGACTAGTCATTGTAGTTGACTCTCTATTAAACAACACATCGGAAGGAGTTGTTGGAAAAACTCAGTCTGATAGTTGCCTCTCGAATGCTGTTCAGAATGTCGAAGAAAATATTGCTGAACAAGATGATATTGAAATGCAAACCAGTGAATATTGGGATGCAATGGATGCAATAGAGTTTGAAGATAATGCAATAATAAACAATAATCATGAAGACGATAGAATTGGCGCTCAGCTAACTTCACAACCAGATGTTATAGACGATTTAGAGGTGATATTTAATATTATTTTGTTAAAATTATCTCAATATCTTGAATATTTTGATTAAACTAAAACTGTTTTTGGATAGATCCATTAAGGTGATTTTCTGCGTAAATAGTTGACTTGTTGGTTTACTACCATGTTCATGAAAATCAACTGCCAATGTGCTACATCTTCATGAAGAAATATCTATGAGAAGTTTTTTTACATGCGAACACAGGATGTTAACAGCCAAATTTAACCATCTTTACCTGGTACTGATAATAAAATCTGACTATGTAAAATTATTATTTCTGTTAATGTTAAATAATATGCCCAAAGTGTCATTAAAGATAGTCTTTTATTTGAGTTTAAAACAGTAATCGGTTAAAAACGTTGGTTGGCAGCGTTAAATCGTGTTTTAACTCTTTCAAAGAAATATTTTTATTTATTCTTATCTCTAGGGTTTAAGCATTCTTATAACATATTCATTCACCAAAATAAAGGTCATTTAATCATGTATGTGTGCATATGAAAAAATTCGAAACTTCTTCGTGAAGATTAATAGTTAATCTTCGATAACATGATTTTAACTGTCATATCCAAGAGGAACCCATTCAATCAGTCAGCAAATCACCTAGTGGATCTATTCAGAGATCAAAGCACTTATTTGCATTTCAACCTGCAGGATCCAGCTTCAGTATCCACCAAAACACTTAATTTTTAATCAATTCTGGAACTAATGTAATAAGAGTAGTGTATGAAGTCGTATCAAAGTTAGTTCAAAGAATTAATGTTAAATAATCCATTAATAACTTTACGCTAGAAATCTAGGGCAACGTTTTTATACTTTAGTATGTATTCAAACACTTAATATTTGGATCAACTCTTGAGCTAATTAACAAGAGTAGTAAATGAAATCATATTAATCAAGTTAATTCAACAGAATCAATGTTAAATAATTAATTAATAACTTTCTGTTTAATTTAGAAATCTAGTTTCTACACGCGCCATTCCGCAAACTCTAATATTTCTCCAGAAACAGCTTAATAGAAAAATAAACTAAAATTACATTACGAACAGACATTCTTCTTTTCCCCTTAAGCAAGTTAATAGGAGCTTACTAACTTATTTAATTTAATTATATTACTTGTAAGTTTTTTTTAAAATTTATGAAGCGCAAAGAGAGAGAATGTTTTGGGGAAAGGAAAAGTAAGATTAATCAAGTTTTTTCAGAAAACTATTAATTGGAGGCAAGCTAAGGAATCATTTTAAATTTTAGATGACGGTGAAAACAATTCTTTACATAGTAGTAAGCTTCCGAGTTTCTACAACAATCGAACAAAAAATATGTAAGGTTTAAAAACTGAAATTGTTTGAGTGCTCATTGATCTCTTTCAGATTGTTTTTGATTACTTTCATTTTCGAAACCATTACTTATAGACATTGATTAGCAGAGAGCTTGATTTTTATTATTTCGATTTTCGAAAGCATTACTTATAAACATACACATTGATCAGATGAGTGCTTTCGCGCCGTACGCATTTTCTCTATTCACTCTTCTTTTTTCTTTGCCATTTTTTTGCTTCGACATTCTAAATCATATTAACCAAGATGCTGATATCATTGCTACGGCTGGAAATAAGAACTAAAGTGACAATAAATAATAACTATAGTAGGCAACTCATGCCTTAAAGCTCATTTGTCTTATAACATCTAAAAGCTACATTAAAAAGTTTCGCTGAATGCAGATACTAAATTTAGATTACAATAATCAGGCTTAAAATATCCTATTGATTCTATTGTGGGAATCTCAAAATCAGATTTTAACTGTATAAAAATAACATCTTACTTGTTTTCCAAAATTAAACTAGGGCTTCCATTTTAAATTGCTTTACAAATAGTTACCAACTTCAGAGTTGCATTACACATTTTGATATTTTTCATTGTTTTCAAATACTTAATTAATATTTTCGTCCATTAGTAATTTGCATAAACTTTGTAAATGAACATGCCAGAAGAGCAAGAAAATCAACCAAAAGCTTTAAACATTTTTACAGTTTTTACAGCTCCAAGTAATAACAGTTTTTCAGGTGAAGATATCCGGATAGTTTCATCAATTTAAATCCCAAATATAAATAGTGTCTGTAATATAAAAAAAGTAGGGCAACACAAAAGACTCTGTAAAGGTAAATGTTGATGAGATGAGTGCGTCCACGCCAGCCAGAATTTTTGTTCTCTTCGTCTGTTCTAATATAAGATTCTGCAATTTATTATTAACGATTATAAATCGTCGATACTACGTAATGATAAAATCAGCTGATTTAAGTTATGAGTTTTCGAACTTAAGGAGTTTATCATGATTGAACGTAAATTTAAGATACCCAATAGATTAAGATAATTTTGCACTTATTTCTGGGAACACAGCTCAACTTTAAGGCTGATGGTAATTATTATTATTTAATAGGCTACATCTCTATTATATTCAGATAATAATCTCTGCTGTTATGCATAAATTTAAAGGATATTCATGCTATACATCAGGAAAACGAAAAAAATTAGTAAGGAGTGAACCCCTGCAAGAGGGAAAAGTCAACTTCGAATGAATCAGGAATTTTCAGTAAATCGTTTCAATATTTGGCATGCTTGTGTACGGTTTGCTAATTTGGAAATGCTCACTGATACACTCTGCGTATAGCACAGCCCGCTTAATACAATTATGCATAATATATAGCACAGGGCATATAAAACAAGAGTTGGTGTGAAAATGTACTCATGTATACTTCTACTGCATCATTACAGGCACTTCGTTGCTTATGGAATCTCTAAGAAGCGTTTGAATTAAGTGAGTCGTCAGTTGATGATTTTGGTAATTTTGTAGAGTCATTAGGATATTTTGGAAGCCAGAGAGATGAAAAATTAGCAACCGCCTTCGCCGGGAATCGAACCACGGACCTCTGGAATACCGGCCCAGCGTGCTACCGTTACACCACTAAAGCACGCTAGGGAAGTGGGAGAATACCTTATATACTCCCCTTTTTAAAGGGCGACTAGGGTTTTAGGGGACCTAGTAGCCAAATCCTGGGTGAGGAGAATCATCATCCACAACCCATTTTTTTTTTTATTTCGGGCGCCACTTGTAGAGTCATTAGGATATTTTGTAAGCCAGAGAGATGAAAAATTAGCAACCGCTTCGCCAGGAATCGAACAGCGGATCTCTGGAATACCGGCTCAGGGTGCTACTGTTACACCACGAAGGCACGCTAGGGAAGTGGGAGAAATACCTTATAATTTAATACCGGGGTATTATATTCTTCCTCATATATAAAAAGTTATGTTAACAATATTTAATTTTAGTTTCATTATATACTGATGGTGCTTTATTTAGTTTGAATAACAGTTAAATTTTATTTAAAGCAACTTTCCTTTTAGTCTCGTTTTCACCCGTTTTCCTACCATAATGTTAATAAGGTAAAGTACGTGTATTCAAATTGAGGTATAAAGAAGTGCTATCGAAGCGAAGATTTCGGAAGGTCTTTTTAGAGCGTGTTATACCTGCTTGAAGACCACGTTGTTATTTTGAATTACTAGCGATTTAATTCTATGGCGCTGAGTGCTTCTAGCCATATTAATGACTAGAAGCACTCAGCGCCATATTAGTGGCTAGCCATATTAATGGCTTGTTTCAGCCGCCTTCTACGAGTCAGAGCCTTCTGGCTCGTTAAATTATTCTGGGAGCTCTTCGGATAAATTGAACACATTTTAAATTCAATGTTATCTGTTTGAGTTAAGCCAGAAGTGTTGGCTTTATGGAAGCTCAAGTAGGGTAATCTGTGCAACTATATTTGATTGAATAAAGGGTTCTTTATAACCTTCTTCTGACTTTTCTGTTGTACTAAAGACTTGGGGATAATTCCTCATACTATCTTTTAAATCTCGTTAGTTTATGCTACTAAAAAGAATGACTCTATATACTAAATGCTATTGACTAAAGCTACATGAATCGTTTGTTAATTTTAATTGTTAAACCTGACTAATACTGCCGAATAAAAAAAAATCACATTTAATTACACATATTTAATAAACATTTGTAATAGCTTTTTTGTTTATGTGGAAGTACAAAGTTTCTAAAATAAAATAATAATTAAACAGAAGGTATTCGTAAAACAGTTTATGATTAGTAACTTAATCTGCAGAAAAACTTTACTTCCGATTTTTCGCTATTGCTCTGTATTACCACATGATGAAAATGCGAACATAAACGAAAGAATGTGGATCTATTATTGAAGTTAAAATTTCATTTACATTTTCCACGAACTTCAATTATCCAACAATTCCAAACATTTCAATTTAACCCAACAATTCACACCATTGTATAATTTCACTAGGAAAAGACTTGCCATCGATCAGCTAGACTGTCACATTAATACTTTACTTTGTATTTTGTTAGAACGAAATGTTCACAAATTCAGAAGACACAATTCTTTGTGATGTTTATAATTAAAATGATTACTTCTTAAGATTTTCGGGAGTGGACACATCCATTTTATCGGGAGTTGATAAATGCTGTTTTCGTGGTCTCTATCTGATATTTTGTAGTTGATTGAATTTATTCCTTTAAGGAATGTTCAAGTGATCATTTTATGAACGCTGTTAATGGTTTACAGTACATTTGCTTCACGTCTAGACGTAAACCACTTAATCTGCCATTTGAAAGATTAAGTGTAGCAATAAACAGAGAAGACGATTACATGCATTGTTGTTTTAATTACAGTAAATAGGATTGCGTATTTCTTGTATTTATCGCAGTTCATGTACAGACAAAAAAAAATCATTTTGATGGGTAAAATTCCGTATTCAGAAAAGTATGTTTAATATATTAAATTGTTTTATACCAAAGTAAAGTTTTCTTATGTATGATTTATAGTTTTGAGTTGTTAAAATTTAAATTCTGAGTTTTGCCTTCATAATTTATATGTATTATAGTGGTCTTATATCCCTACTCAAGAGATTTTATGTACTAGCGAGTTT